CTATGCTAACTTAGCTAGGTCTGATCCCGAAAGGTGTTTCAGGCGTGGTCAAGGATCTCCTGATCCCACCGGTGAGGGCCTATCGGAGTGGTTGTTGGACACTCTTCTTTGCTTCCCCCCCTTTTTTTCATTTATCAAAAAAAAAAAAATATTGCTACTTAATATTAACTAAAATAATGACTAAAACACAAGAAAATATTACTTATAATAATAACATCATGTCAATACAATAGTACTTGTAATTCCTATGGTTAAGGTTGAATTTAGAGTCCATTTCCGATAACATAATACAATCAATAAGGGTTGTCTCCGGTCCACAAGGCGAGGGAGGGACAAGAAAGAAACCACTTATTGAATACCTTTTAATTTCTAACCGCCAATTTTGACTATCTAAACTAACCTAATTGATTGTCGCTTGTCAATCATTAAGATTAATTTGTATTTCAAAGTACGATACAATGTAAGTGATTTTAAGAGAAATATTGATGACCGTTAAATAAGTTTATTTAAGATTATTAAATAAACTTATTGAAGTCTGTTTTATAATAAATACGTATCTCAACATTTCACTCAAAATTAAGTTGACAAATAATCAATTTAATTGAGTCTGGTCTAATTTGAGGAGTTGACTATGATTTTTTTTTTTAATACCATATCTCTATTTATCACATTTATAAATATTTTTATTACTCACAAAAGTGGTAAAAATAATTACCACAACAAACATAATAAAAATACCCACAATAACAGTGGTAAAAATGCCAACAAAAGTGATATTTCTTTTTTTGTTATAAAATAACCCACAAAAATTGTAAAAACATATCTATTAAAATAATAAAAATTAGAATTACGGTACCGAAAATTTTTCTTGGATACCGTATCAAGTCCCTAATTTGATACTGTTGAGTCTTCCAATTAGCAGATCGACAGCTTAGTCTGAATCACAAAAAGGACTAAATCGTCATACCTCTTTCTTTTGGCAATCCTATCTTATTATTCGTTCAGATCTCTATTGCTGCTAAACTGTAAGTGTGAGTTACTTATGTTTTATTATAATTGTCGTTATTTAGACTTTACTAAATTATAATTTGTTTGATTTTTTTATTATAGTAGTTATTCATTTATACTGCACGGGAGAATTTCTACAATAGATTAAGATAACGATTGTCTGCATGATGAACCTGAAACAACCACAAGGTCAGAAAAGGGGTTGGGTGAACACCCGACTTATCCCCTCTAAAACTTAAATCAGTATAAAATTAGAAGGCTTGAACACAATGTATTATCTATTTCAGTTCAATTTTGCGTACCGTTATTCATTTTTCTGAGGAGTATTTATATTTAGGTCAACAATGAGTGTAAAGTCTTTAAGTCTCATCTCAACATTTAATGTCAGACACTCTTATCCATGCGCAATGAGTGTTCTCCACTAAGATCTTTGTATCTTTAATGCTCGGATAATAGGAAAAGTGTTGGGGGCCACGCCGAAAACTTAAGGTTATCCCCGGGAACTCAAGTTTCTATGATCGGCGCCTGACACCTACTCTCGAGCGTTCAATGCTTGGGGAACAGTACCCCTAGGACATACCGAGGAGGTATACTCGACGTAATAGTCATTAATGTCTAGCAATTATGACTGTAGGCTTAGGTTTTGAGGACGCAGGGGCTTATTCATAGTCTTGTCTCAATCATTCATATCGCTATAAATGAGTGGTCGAATCGTATTAAATGCGGGTGTCAATTTATGTATTCGGCTCTTCCGAGCCATTACTTTTCGACACCTTTTGAGTTTCATAACAACTATTCTTTCGCACGTGTCGACTTGGGGGTGCTGAGTCGCCTTGAGTCCCGTCATATACTATATGACATTTTAGGCAGTTTTACAGTGATAAATGGACACGTGGGTAGTTACAGTCGTTAAAAAGCGCAAAGGATGCCAAGAAAAGGCGCCGAAGAGTTATGAAGGGAAGGACCGAGTATGCCCCTCAGAGCCTGACATTAAAAGGGATTTGACAACTCATTAATGGGATCTTGAGTGGCTATATCAAAGCCATTAATGAGTGTCCAGGTCCTCGAAAGATGTGAAAATAGTCATTATTATAAGGCATTAATGATTGTTGCGCTAACATGAAGTCCTCGATCATTCCCCCTTATCCCGACTAGTGAACGCTCAGGCGTATGAATCAAGCACCGAGAGGGGATATTTAATGACCGATGAATGCTCGACAGTTCCCGAGCAAAGGTCTATTGGTCCGAGGGAATTAGTCCAAAGAAGATTCGATGGAATGTCTCTTATTCTACTGGGATAAGAGTAGAGGCCATTAAATTCTAAAATGGGACTTAAGGGTCACACCATTATTGTAAACTCATGTATAAATACCCCTCAAGAAGCTAGATCAAATTACACAATTTGAAAATAGAGAATATACTGTGTCCATGAATCCAACGCCGACTGACTTGAACTTCAGAGGGGATTAGTCGGGGACACACCCAACCCCTTTTTCTGGTCTTTCATTTCAAGTTCATCATTTATGATCGTTCCACGCATCGCTATTTTAATTTATTGCAGGAACTCACCCATGCACTATATATAAATAAAACAATTAATTTCTTAGGGAAATGGCTTGAGATACATTCCCTTCTATTTTTTAAATTTTTAAAAATTTTGAATTAATAAATCTCTGTCTTCTAATCATATTATACCAAATGAATCTAATAACTACACATAAATTTCCTCTGACCATTACTTATTTAATTTTCTTTTAAATGTCAATATTTATAATTCAACAAATTATATAATATTGTTACTAACTTATAGAAGAGCAATATTATTGGGATTTAATTTATTGATCTAATTTTTTGAGTTAATTCACTATGATTTTTGAATTAATTATAGGTCTCACTAAACATTAGAATTATTGTTGATTTAATAGTTCTAATGAAACTATCAATAAATTAGATCAAATTTTTATGTGTAAATAATATTAGACTAGCAGAAAAAAATTGGCATCTTTGTGTGCATGAGGGATGAGTTCCAATTCCTTTCTGGCAGGCATGGGTGGTGGGTCCCTTAGTATGAATTGAATTCGAAAGCCTGAGGACCGTTTGATGAACGGTCAAGAAAAAGTTTGAAATCATGATATTTAGGAGACGGTTGAGAGGAGTGGGTGTTGGTTTCAATAACCTAGCATGTGAACGACAATATAATATCCGTTATTGAAGGAGCAGAGCAGATATGGAGACATGTGGTTGGTAGGGGGCAAAAAGGGGAAGAAATCTGAAAAGATTCACCTTTCCTTTCCTATAACTAGAAAACGTGTTTGAATGGGAGGCGGAGCATACAGAAATTGAGGAAATTTTTTACCATCCTATTAAGAGTTGGAGTCGTTCTTTATGATCGGCTAATAATTATCAAAATTCAAATTCTTACACTTTAGGTAGGTAGGTAGGTTTAAGACCTAAATATTATTAAGTCACAGTAGAGTAGGTGCATAGATCGATCCTCAGTCATTCCTCACAAGCAAGGATCAATCCGGTGCTCCAAGTCCAAGCGGCTGCGACAGAAGATTCTTGTGGATCAATCTCTACCGATGCCATCATGCTCTAAGAGGCGACATAGACTTGCTTAATAATATAAGGATAGAAATTATTGTAAATGGCAGTGGATTTGGATGCCGCAATTTCCATAGCCATTCCAACAACATGATCTCCTCTGAAATGAAAAGGGCCGGAAGGGAATGGCCGAGTAATCATAAACACAGTTTGTTTCTTTCTTTTCCTTTTCCTTTTNTGCTCTAAGAGGCAACATAGACTTGCTTAATAATATAAGAATAGAAATTATTGTAAATGGAAGTGGATTTGGATGCCGCAATTTCCATAGCCATTCCAACAACATGATCTCCTCTGAAATGAAAAGGGCCGGATGGGAATGGCCGAGTAATCATAAACACAGTTTGTTTCTTTCTTTTCCTTTTCCTTTTATTTTTTCTTTTTCCCTTTTGATCTTATCATGAAGAGTTTTATACTGCCAGCCTTTTAGATTCCTGAAACTTTAATTTTAGACCCTCACGTGCAAAATGGTTTATTCAAGAAAAGAATATTTCTATGTGTAACTAAAATTAAGTATGATAAGTGGAGAGACTCTCGGAAGACAGGTTCTATGTGCGAACGTGCTTTTCTTTTCTTGTTTGTCCTCCCAGCTTCTATTTTCTCCTTTTTGCCACTCACATATATTTACTCTATCTTACCACTAAGAAAAATCTACTACTGTTCAGAGCACACAAAATAAATAAATTAAAAAACTAGAAAGATCAATTTATATTTCAATAAGATCAAAGTCGATAACTCAAATAAAATCTAAAAAACTTGAATTCATCAGAGTATGGATAAATCTTAAAGTTTAGTTTTTAAATCGATCCTAATTCAAGTTTATTGAAATGTAACTAGTCATATTTGAGCGATAATTTCGGTATGATACCAAGAACCATAAAAAAATCGTTACCTGAAAATTGATTTCATGATCATATATATACAAGAGTAGACAAACAACTTCTCCCAGTTGATTTGTTTTAATCAACTGCTTGTCGGGGCTGCCCCTCACAACATGTATGTAGGTCAATCCTAAGTTGTACAGCAGAAAACGGAAGAAGCTCGTATGACCAGAACTCCTTAACACTAAATCTATATATGTCAACTTCAATCGATGTGGGGTTGGGTTGCTAAATCACATTAAGAATTGACAACCCAGATACGATGCTTCATCTTGGAACACTAGTAGTTAAAAATTTCAGCCATTTCAATAAGAGATAAGAATAGAAAGAACCATAGCTGGAAGAACAAAGGGATTGTTCCTTCAATTGCGAATCCAGGCTTGCCGGGATCAAAGAAGTTGGTTTTCAACTAACATCTTCATTTGCACTCTTCTACCATGCCTTTATGTTGAGAAAGATAATGGAATGAGAAAAAGATGGAAGAAAGATTATTACGTTCATTTGAGTATTTCTGTTAACAGAGTCATGTGTGTACATTCCACAACCACATGAGTGTATGTGGTTATTTTTAACATCAGCAAGTGATGTGCATAAGAGGCAAAGCACAAGAGGGTAAAATGAAACATGCCCTAAATTCTTTTCCTCAGCTTATTCTTCTTGACAACCTCATGTTTGTTAGTCCCTTGGTCATCAATGTTAGCAATCCTTCATTTTGACGGCCGGTTTTGTTATATCATTACATGGTGTGGGTAATTAGCTGTTAACATAAGTTCAGAAATGATGACAACTTGAAATTTCTTTTCACAGTTTACGCATAACAAAGGTCTGTTTTCTGAATTACTTACTTTGAGATCTTATAAAGGCCAATGATATTATACACGAGTACTAGATATTAGATGCATACCTTGATAATCAGTCCAAATCATTGGCAACCGTACAAGCGCACAACGCTTTGAAGTCTAACACAAACTTTTTCTTGCACAGGAGCAAAGCATTAATCATAGTCGTTGTGCACATCACCACAGCAGTCAATTATCGAGCCATAGCCATATGAATCAGTTCAACATTGTCATGCTGTGTTACTTGAGGTTTCCAACACCACAACCACTCAATCACTCCAACATTCCATCGTTTGCATTCCCATGTAAACTATTTCAGAACCACAACACTACCGTCGGTAACTATTGACAACCACTGGCATGCTCACCCTCTGAGGCTTCATTTAATTTGCTCCTTTGTGACCACCAACACCACTTACCCGACAAGCTCAAGAAAAGCATCACTGCTACTAACGGGATAACACACAAAACATGATCCTTCGGAACTTTTAAAAGCACCACCATCACAATATACTAAAATCCTGCATGGCCAAGGAACCTTCAATACCCAACCATTGCACCACCAGCTTGACTGCTGACACCATAACAAGCACAAATGTTTCAATTAAACTCTTTTCAACACCACTTTCACCACTCATTTGACAAAACATAATCATAATTACCACCAACAGTTGCCACATAAGGCTTCAATGGAATGGGGTTGGGTGGATTGAGACCATGGGTAGAGTTTGCATGGAGTCTGTGGTTAGGAAGGGAACCATTGGCTGTGAATATCTGAGTGATAGAGGTGAATCAGTGCCTATGCTGACTTATTTGCAGAGATAGATTAACTTGAGTTGATCAGGTTTACAATTTGCATTTTAACGAGAGAGGGTAAATGAATTCTAAAGAGACCACAATATAGAAGTTTGGTACTCGCACCGTCTGTTATGTCTGTTATAACTGCCTTAACAGTCAATGAAAACGTTCACTCTCAGATATGGCCTAGGATCAAGTCTGAATATCAGAACCACAACTAATAACAACACCATCACAATCATTAACATCATGACCACCATCATCACCTTTGGCAACGCATCACCTTTGGCAACGCATCACCAACACTGGCATTCCCCTATCACACTTAGGTGACTTGTTGATAGAACGTCTGTCACCACCGCCACCTCCATTTTCACACTCCATCTCCAACAACATAATACCACAGTAAACAACAAAAAATTATCTAATCAAACCAATATCATGGCTATCATTTAGCATACATATATAACTAAGGTTTCCAGAGTCTTGAATAGAGATTCCAAGACTAATTCTAATTTTCAAAACCACACACTCACATAAAAAATATTCCCTTCATCTAGACAAGATATTCGATTTCTATTTGAGTCTTTTTGTAGTTATGGTGTTAAAGCTCACACAAACACTTAGAGAAGCGAACAAAATAATCTATATAGGAGACAATTTAAACTTTCAAGTCAACTCATTTACACAATTTTATTGGATGTAAGAACCTATATTTATAACCACACCAAGAGCAAAACGTGGGTAAAGCAAGAAACTTTCTCTTCATGATGGTATATGTACATAATTTCTTAAAGGAGAAAATGAAATGGAAAGTAAAATGTCTAGATGAGCATAAAAAAACTGTTGATAACATCAAAAGCAGCGTAAAAAAGTGATGCTCGAATTCCATGTATAATAGATTGATAGTTTGATACTCACTGCTTTTGGAGGGAATGCTCAAGAACCAACCTCAAGCGACGAGCCAACACATCCAGTTCATCAACCCTTTGCTCCCGCCACCTCCTTTCAAAACTCCCCGCTTTGTCTTCATTCAAAGAACTCACCAAACTCAACCTATCACCGTGATAAAGCAGCCCTTGTTGAACAAGAGCCGTCCTAACCTCCTTCAAAGACTCATCAAACACATCAATCAAAGTCTTCCCCACTATCTCCTCAATCTCACCATTCAATTCACTCGGCACCACCACCTCGTCTTCTTGAACATCATCCTCAAACTCCACATTCACTTCACTCAATTTCACTTCACCACCATCGCCCCCCAAACCACCGCCGACAAATCCATCATCGCTGCCACCATTATCAATTTCAACCACATTCAACACCCCATTTTGGTTCAAATCCTGACTCATAGTCTGCTTTTCGACCAAAACCGAAGGCAAAATCGGCGAAAAGCTCACCTCAACTCCAACCAAATTGGATTCTTTCGGCTTATTGCTGTTATTATTAGCACCAAAAGGCGATGTCGAAGAAAAATCCGGGTGCCATAGCTGCTCCGAGAGCTCGTACAAAGCCTGATCGTGGGGCGACAACAGCGCTTTATCTAGGCCCTTCGCGAGCCGAGAGGAGATCACTCGGAACTTCTTGCGGAGCCTCCGCAGCTTTTCGGAGAGCTGAGACTTCGTATACGGTTGTGGCATGGTATTGGAGAAGCGAGCATAGAAAACATGGAGATCGCGAGGGAAAGAGAGGTTCTCCGGGGAGCAATCGAGGAGGCCACGGAGGAACCGAATTTCGTCTGGCTCGGTCCATATCCGGTGGAACTTGAACGGCGGAGGTCTGCTGTCTCCGCCAGGGGTGACGTCATCGTCACCGTAATCGTCGCCGTCGGCGGTGGATTTGAGTTTGGGGGTGCGGATTAGAGATGAATTAGGCTTAGGGTTTGGGACTGTGAAGAAAGAGTCTGGTGTTTTGCGTTTGATTGGGAGCTTAGAAGCGGAGGCTTTAATGGAAAGCGATTGGGGTTGGGGTTGGGGTTGAGGTGTGGGGTTAGGGTTTGGGGTGGAGTCCATGGCTATGAAGGGGTGGAGTCTGAGTTTGAAACCAGTGCTCGTGTGGTCTTGTTTTCGAAGATTTAGATTTAAGTTGAATTGATCAGGTTTACTGTGTTGTTATCATGGGATTAGGGTTAATGGCTTTGTAAAGTGGCCATCGGAGAGGATTCACTACTTGGCCAATAACTACAATCTTTATCACAAAACTTAAAAAGGGACAATGAGACTTCTTATGGTCTACAAAGTTATACTGACGATCCCTATGATGGTTGGAGATTGTATGAATTTTTAATTTAACCTTTTTTTTTTTGGGTTTAATAAATGTGCAGATCAATTTACATATATTTTAACTAATTATCTTCTTAATTCAGTCAAAATCAACTCATTCACGTGGAGTTGTGGTTTTTTTCCAATAGAGTCATGGGGTCACTTTCTTTTTGCAAACCTTTTTTCAAAAGGACTATTCTTAAATAGGTCTGTCATCGGATAAAATATTTATCTGAATTTGAATATAATTAATCGAATATTAATTAATATTTTTTATAGATAATTTGAATTCGATATCTTATATATTTCACGGATTGAGATTCCAATACACGTATATCCAATTCAATTATGATCCGATTCAAATTATAAATATATATATATATATTTATATAAATATTAAAAAGATTAAGTGATTATTTAAAAAAATTTAGTTAAAATTTAAATATAATTTTATAAAATTTAATTAATTAAATTATCTGAATTGAATCGAATTTCGAATTGTTAATGGATTCGGATATGAATTACAAAAATAAAAATCTCATTAAATTATCAAATCAAATTTGAATTGAATTTTTAAAATCAAATTTAAATTTAAATTATTTAAAATTCGATCTGGATCCGTTGAAAGAGGTACCTGAATGTTTTGCCTATCTAACCATTCACACAAATTCGTTAAAGGGACATGCACGCCCAGACAAGACAAGACGCACGAAATGTAAAGCAACCCCCCAACCTTGTATCTATATTCCCAAAAGTCAATCATTTGAATTTTGACCTTTTGTATGATCCAGGTCCCACCATCGAAGGGGACGGTTTGATGTTCGAAGCCAAGATATGCATAGAGCGAAAAAAACTAGTTTAAACAATAATTCGATCCCAACAAATCACTTAGCTATTTTCATCCTTCTTTTTCACTTAAAAAATGCATAGACACGTTGATGTATATACTAACAAGATAATTAAATTAATTCATTTAGTAGCTTGAATCATGCTCAACTATTCTTTATCGAGGGAATGATTAGTTTTAAAAAAAATTTGTAGACATAGAAATTACAATTTTAAAAAAATAAAATTACAAATCCTAAATAAAAAATAATAAATTTTTTAAGCACTTCGTGATCAATCATAAATTTTCTAATGTAATTTTAGAGTGATGACTTTCGATGTAATGCTTTTTATTTTTTATTTTTTTTGTAGTAGTGTAGAATTACCCCTCACACTCATGGCCCACTTTGAAGACTACCTAACCTTGGTCGGGTCCTATTTGTCCCATGGCTAATTATTTTGTTTTAGAAATTATCTAGGGCACATTATCATTAAAAGTTTAGAAAAAAATTACAATTAAATAAAATAGAAAAAATCTTAGGATCAATATTAAAAAGTTGAGACTAATTTTTTAAGTTTTTGTTGGATCAATCATAATTCTAACCTATTAATTAACAACTTTCAATACAATACTAAAATTCATTCTTTTTATTGTAAATTAAGGGGTGAGCCATTCATTCCCCGACCTTTGGCAATTTGGCAAGACATGACTGTCAAATGAAGTAGGTGGAATGGAACTTGGGTAGGTTACAAGTGTTGCCATATATGTACTAAATTGGAGGAGTTGGTGGTTGAGGTACTCGCTGCTGGTTTTTCAAATTTGCACTCATACTTTTAGTCAAACCCATCAATCACACAGATTGAAAATGATGAAAATTGTTTTTACAATCGGGGTCAAATTGATGGTGCTAAAAACTGATTAGTGTGAGATGGAAGGGTTAAAGAGCTCTTCAACAATGAGAAAGAATAAAATGTGTGTATGCGTAGCAATAAAAATAAAGGGCATGAGAGAAATAAGTGGTTCACCTAATTAAAATATTTGGTTAATTTACTCTAATGAAATATCTTAGTCCTCTGATTTGTATTACTTGAAAAAGAAAAAAACGATTTCCAGAGTTTTGTGAATACAAATGCCCTTATCCTTAGTGAGGCGAGGATTTGCTTATTCATCCTCTAGGATAGTATGGTTCTTAAGTAATGGTGGGGTAATCTTCTAGTTTGTTAAGATTTTGGGAGGAAATTGTTAAGATTTTGGAAAGAAATATTTGGTCGTTAGATGCTATATTTTCTAGGCATGATGTGACATTTTAGAAGTTGATAACTCCATGGGAGCATTGGTTGGGTAATTTCTTTCTTGTCCTTCATGAAGATCGTCATGCAGTTTAGCATATTTAGTGGTGTTTAATAAAATTGAAAGTTGAAAATCGAATATTGAATGCTGAATTTTTAATTTGTAAATTGTTTGGTATCAACTAAAATTTAAGTATTGAATTGAATCAAACTATTTGATAAATATAAAGAGTTAAAGTCTAAAAATTATTATTATTCTAATTTTACCATTCTTTTAACAATCTCTTCTCTACTATCTTATTCGTACCACCACCATTACAAATGGTGGGTGGTGGTGGTGACGGCATAATGGTGGTAGCATAATGGTGGTTGTGGTGATGATGNCCTTCTTTTAACAATCTCTTCTCTACTATCTTATTCGTACCACCACCATCACAAATGGTGGGTGGTGGTGGTGGTGACGGCATAATGGTGGTAGCATAATGGTGGTTGTGGTGATGATGATAGTGGTAGTGATAGTGGCACAATGGTGGTAATGATGGCGGTACAATGGTGGTGGCGACAGTGATTATAGCGGCTATGATGTGGTGGCAGCGACGCAATAGTGGTGCCAGTGGTACAATGGTGTTGGTGATGGATGCTGAATATTAAAAAATTAAGAGTGTAAAATGCATTAAGAATATATTTGTCTATTATGAGAAATTGATAAAATCGTCTAACATTTTCAATATTAAGTNTAATGATGGCGGTACAATGGTGGTGGCGACAGTGATTATAGCGGCTATGATGTGGTGGCAGCGACGCAATAGTGGTGGCAGTGGTACAATGGTGTTGGTGATGGATGCTGAATATTAAAAAATTAAGAGTGTAAAATGCATTAAGAGTATATTTGTCTATTATGAGAAATTGATAAAATCGTCTAACATTTTCAATATTAAGTGATAAGTAGGTGACTGCTACTTAAAATTTTGGCTTATTTTTATGAAATTCTTAAAATATTAAGTTGTATGATTTTTAAATTATCAAATGAATTTAATTCATTAAGGGCTTAAAATAAATAGTATTACCAAATAACCCCTAAGCCGAGGAAATCATAAATATTACAATAACTTTTTATCGAACACCTTAGCTACTTAAAAACTTCACCTTTGCTTCAAGCATACCATCTCGTGTGATGTCATGGAGTCATGCCTTGGTGCAACCGTGAAAGGACTAAGGAGCCACCAAGACACACTGCTTGAAATATAAGATAAGTCAGAGGGGCAGTATAAGTTTTGAAATCATGGGGCATCCCTTGAAATCAGTCCATAATATTAGGGNATAAATATTACAATAACTTTTTATCGAACACCTTAGCTACTTAAAAACTTCACCTTTGCTTCAAGCATACCGTCTCGTGTGAAGTCATGGAGTCATGCCTTGGTGCAACCGTGAAAGGACTAAGAAGCCACCAAGACACACTGCTTGAAATATAAGATAAGTCAGAGGGGCTTCAGTATAAGTTTTGAAATCATGGGGCATCCCTTGAAATCAGTCCATAATATTAGGGATGTCATCAAAACTTTACCAAAAAAAGGATAAATTATAGAGTTAATTATTTATTTAGCCCTTAAACTATATGATTTATGTCAATTAAGCCCCTCAACTTTGGTTTGTGGCAATTTAGCCCCTCAACTTGTCAATGTGTGTCAATCAAGCGCTTCTATCCAATTCAGCCGTTTGTTGTGATGGACAAATGCACGCATGGCTCACGTGAGGCAAGGTCCAAGGGTAATTAAGGGAAATGAACTATTTTGGCANCTCAACTTTGGTTTGTGGCAATTTAGCCCCTCAACTTGTCAATGTGTGTCGATCAAGCGCTTCTATCCAATTCAGCCGTTTGTTGTGACGGACAAATGCACGCATGGCTCACGTGAGGCAAGGTCCAAGGGTAATTAAGGGAAATGAACTATTTTGGCACCAAATCTTCCACAGTTTCCCTCCTTTACAAAGCATAAAGAGCTTTGTGTGTGCTAGGTTTTGCAAAAACAGAGCAATTTTCCTCAATTCTGTGTGCTGGGTTTTGTAGAAACAAAGCAATATTGAGGAGCTCTGTGTGTGTTGGGTTTTGCAGAAACAGAGAAATATTCAGCAAGAAAAAGAGGGGAAGAAGGATAATCTAAATAGTTTCAGATTTATAGATTTATTTTGTAATTGTAGAAAGATGACTGTAANCTGTGTGCTGGGTTTTGTAGAAACAAAGCAATATTGAGGAGCTCTGTGTGTGTTGGGTTTTGCAGAAATAGAGAAATATTCAGCAAGAAAAAGAGGGGAAGAAGGATAATCTAAATAGTTTCAGATTTATAGATTTATTTTGTAATTGTAGAAAGATGATTGTAAAGAAAACATCTTGGATAGATCAGAGTTCCGGAAGAAGGTTTTTGACATGTCCAAACATGGGTGTAGGTATCTAGAATGTATGGAGAATTCTGTTTTTTCTTCCATTCCCTTAATGCTTATTGTTTGCATACTTTAATGATGCAAAATGATGGGTGCGGTTTTTTCATTTGGCAAGACCCACCAATGTGCATATGTGCAAGACAAGTGATTCGAAAATTGAATAATGTAGAGGCTCAACAAGGGAAGGTTAAGGCANAGAATGATGGGTGCGGTTTTTTCATTTGGCAAGACCCACCAATGTGCATATGTGCACGACAAGTGATTCGAAAATTGAATAATGTAGAGGCTCAACAAGGGAAGGTTAAGGCAAGAGAGA